AAAATGCGCACTTACTTCAGAAAAAATTAAAATTTATCACTAGATTATCGATATTATAGATTTGAAATATATAGATAATTATATAGAAATAAATATATAGATTTGAAACTCTATTATTGATATTATTATATGCGCACAACGTTTTGAATAAGTCTGTAAATTATTTATCATCTTTATATATAAAAATGTATTTTTTTTATTTTTAATCTATTGGTCGTACATTCTGGATGAATAATATTAAAAGGATACGTTATACAAAATTTCTTAATCTATCACGTTATACAAAATCACGTTATATATCACGTTATACAAAATTTATTAATACAATTTTATTATTAAAAAGTCTACAAAGTTCTAGAGGTGCTATACAAATAATCAACAGGCATTCTTCATTCGTCTTACTTTTTTTTTTTTGTTTAACTTACTTTTTTTTTTTAACTTACCTGTTTGTAAACACTATATCCTGCAGCAATATCAAAACTAGCCTTGCATCTAAATGTCAGTTTAGTTAATTCCTTAGCATTGTGATTAGCACAGTAGTTTGCATACCACATAGCTTTTTAAGAGTGTATTTTAAAAGATCTTTTAGCGGCGTTTGTACTAACTAGCCATCTATTTGAATGTTCTTGGAATAGCATTTAGCTTTTGAAGATCCTATACCATTATATAAAGGATATGTGTCAGCTGTTTTTTCAGCTTCATTTCTTAGAAGCTGGTATGTTGCTTTTGATATATCACCATTATTAATGAATGCTAAAGCTTCATCAGATGAATATATTTAAGCAGATTTAATGGGGTTTTTATTTTAAATAACAGAAATTTTTGTGCCAGTTTTGTACTTAAACTAACTTCTTAGTTTCAATTTTGTTGCATGAAGTAATATATGGCTAAATAAAATGTTAAAAACATTGATAAGCTTATTCTTTTTGTTCTGTTACAAGCTTTTTCAAAAGTGCAAAATGGTTTCCCAACTTCATTAACTAGTGATGTAGTATTTAATGTACTGTAGGTGTATTGAAAATCTTGAGCCAGCCAATTTTCATTACTCCTCTCAAAATGAATATTATCATTGTTTGCAGCTATCAACTTTTTACATTGTAATTTTATAAAGTTTTTCACTCAGAATCCTCTAGTTTAATATCTGCAGAAACTAGAACAGTTAATTTCGATGAAAAGAATGGTATATCATTAGGAATTATTTATTTTGTTATATAAGTCCGTAAATCTCACCAATTTTTATATTATTACTAAACACAAAAAGTTGTTAGGTAAACAGTGCAATTTGTATTGAATTAAATAACAAACAAAATAAAATGTATTTTTGTTTATGAGAAAAGTTGATTGTAAGCAAACAACTTAAGTTACAAGTCATTATTTTAAAATGTTAAAGAAACCCAAAAGGGGAAGATATGGACAGTGTATATAGTTCAAATAGGTTGTATACATATTACATTTACAAGTTCAAGTATTTAATATAGGTTCTCCTAGGTTCCCTAAATTAAGTGACACTTTTTGTACAAAATAAAAGTATTAAATGTTAAAAATTTACCTCATTATTTTAAAACCAGATTATAAGTGTGTTATAAAGGCTAATCTTTACTTTATATTTTTTTTGTAAAACTTTACTGTTAAATAGTTTAAATATATAAACTAATCCCGTAGCTCATAAAAAAAAAAAAAAAAAACATACATGAAACCACAACTGATTTTTGTGGTTTTAAAAGCCACTTATATACTAAAAACAATTTTCGAAACTTTAAATGAGAGTATTACAAATATGTTTTATTATATGTTTTTGAATATAATAAATATTTATATTTTAGGTTTTGTCCACCGCCTGGCCCACTGTGCAATGTTTTGAAAAACAAAGATAAAAACCAGGCTGTTTTATTATAAAAATAAAAGAATGAAGAAAAAATTTGCTTTTCCCTTTTCAACTTTTCGCTTTAACAACCTTATAAATATTATTGGCTTCCACACAGAGATTAAAGTACATTATTATTTCTATCAAAGTGGAAGCGTTTTTAATGTTACAGTAATATTTTTATGAAAATCTCTTTCATTATGTCAAACAAATATGGAAGTGTGAATTGCAAAGGAAATTATAATGAACTTCATAAGTGTCGTGTTTTTAAATTACCTAAAGATGAAGTTGAGAATCAGAAATGGATTAACGTTCTTCCTCCACGTAAAGATTTAGTTATAGAGCCACCTAAATTTTTTATATGTGAAAAACATTGGCCTGAAAATACAGAAATGATTAAGCTTCCTGGTGGCTATACTCGACCACTATGTGCACAAAGTATTTTTAATGTTCCTTTTTCTTGTCTACCTACACCAAACTCAGCGCTTCGCCAATCTAAGCCTGAGGATCAGCAACTTAATTATTTTCTTAAAAAAGACTAAATAAATTTGTTTTCTGAATTCTATCCTGACAAAGAATTGCACAAAAAGTATGAAAATATTGTAATATTTCGGAGAAAAGATAAATTCATATGTATATTTATGTCGAAGGATTTTAAAGAAAGCTTCATGACAATAATTGTTTACAATAAGTGTACATTGTTTGACCACTAACTTTTTCTGCTTTTAAACATGCTATCAGCGTTCCATTAAGCAATATATTAAATCCCAACAATGGCTTAGTCTTCTAGTCACAGTTTTTTGAAGCAGTTAATTTAGTTTATAATAATAATCTACATGTTAATGATATTATTGAAAAGGTGACAATTATTCTTTCAGAACATGAATTTGAAATTATTGATGATATCAAGAAAAAAAAAACGAAATTTTATTACAAGACAAACTATTGTGTCACAAAAGTTTTTCTATAGCTGATTATTGCTTTGCTATTGAGTCTTTTTATAACACCAGCTATGAACTTTGTGATTTTTTAGTGCTTCCAAAAAAAAGAAAACTGCTATCTATAATTTCTGCCACAAACATCGTTATTGTATTACAAAAAACATTTAAAAAAGTAAAGAACAATCATCAGAAAAATGCTTGATGATGAGATAAAAATCAGACCAACAGTTGCTTATTCAGGCGGAATTTTATATGGGATGGCAAAAAATGATCCAGAGTCTAAAGCATCTTCTATGCTATGTGTAATTATGAAATGCTTACATGGTGGACCTAGTTTAATGTTTTTTATTACACCTGTTCACAAACTAACATCAATATATCAATTCGGTGTTGTGAAAGAAGCTGCTGTTTTAGCTGAAAAAAATGGTGCCATTATTTTAGAATATGTAACAGATAATCATAAAATCAATCAGCAATACTGAAAAAATTTCAAAAGAATTACAGTTCATCTTCTTAAATGTTTGCGTAACAACTGGATTTCTGAAAAGTGTCAAAAATTATCTCTTGACAATAAAACTATTGGCTCTGATGTCAAAAACCTATATCATTATGAAAAAGATAACATTTTGAAATCAGCTCCTATATCCTATGCCGCTGTTTATCCTTCTAGACTTCAACTACAGAATGTGCTACATGTTTTTAAAATATTTAATGAGAAAGTAGTAGCTGTTTTGAAACTAAAAGAAGCTCATGAAACATCCTTTTAATCTAGGAAATCAGGGCATGGACCCAAATAAAAATCCTTGTGCAAACTACTCGGGTTTTGATTACGTCTTGCTTTGTGAGTTACTAAGTGACAGAATTGAGAGAGAATTTTCTGTTTACAGACAATCAACAGGGGCAAATGCATGGCAACTTGGGATGTTTTTTCTGCTTTCAAAAAACATTTAACTCAATTTGCTGCAACGAGTCTAGAATTAGTGGAAGTAGAACAACCCAATAAAAAGGATCACACATATGAAGGTCCAATCAGTTTTGAAGATGCGACTTTAATTGAACGAATTTCAAGAACTTTAACTGAAAGACTAACATCATAAATGATGTGAGACTTTCAGAAACTGAAGAGAGCTCTGCTGCCTATGTGGCAGTGTGGCTGGAGAAAAAATCCGAGGGTAAACTAGTTTGTGCTGAGGATAAGCCTATACTAACAAATGAAGCAAAAGACTTTATTTAATAGGTTTCACAAAGATATTTGACAGTTCCTCATAATTGTACTTATCACCTAGTTAGAATTGGGTTAACACAGAGCATGTTGTAGAAAAAGATTTATAAACATTCTGTTTATAATTCATACATATTATGACTTTTCTTTATCATTAAAAAATCTTTATAGGCATTTGGCTAATGTTCTTTTGTATGGAATTCATATTTTGGAAAAAGACCAAGCAAAAAATGCATGTCTTTATAAGACATCAGTTAAAAAGGCACGCCTTGCAGAGTAATATTTATAGATAGACTTTGTTAATTTGTATTTGTTGTTAATTTGCTTATAGAGTTTTATATACTGACTTATATAAAACTCTATAAGCAAATTAACAACAAATACAAATTAACAAAGTCTATCTATAAATATTACTCAGCAAGGCGTGCCTTTTTAACTGATGTCTAATAAAGACATGCATTTTTTGCTTAGTCTAATTTGCTTATAGAGTTTTATATACTGACTTATATAAAACTCTATAAGCAAATTAACAACAAACACAAATTAACAAAGTCTATCTATAAATATTACTCGGCAAGGCGTGCCTTTTTAACTGATGTCTAATAAAGACATGCATTTTTTGCTTAGTCTTTTTCCAAATTATGAATTGCATGCAAAAGAACATTAGCAAGATGTAAAGATTTTTTGATGATAAAGCAAATATATATATATATATATATATATATATATATATATATATATATATATATATATATATATATACATTTAAGTTTAAAAAATAATTTATATTAAAAAATATAATAATATAAATAAAAATATAAAAGAACATTAGCAAAATGTAAAGATTTTTTGATGATAAAGCAAAAATATATATATATATATATATATATATTTAAGTTTAAAAAATAATTTATATTATTATAAAATCTTCTAGAGATATATATAATTTTAATTTAATTTAAAAGAAAATTACTTTAATGCAGCAGTAAAAGGATTCATTTTTGTATCCATAACTAAATAAAACATAAAAACACATTTCAGATTTCATACAAAAAATCCTAATATTTATAATAAAACAACACTGACATACACAATTTTTTTTTTTTTTTCATACAACAGTAAGTTTTACAATTTCTCAAAAAATTTATTTGTATTGTATGAAAAAAAATACAAATTTTTTTTCATACAATACAAATAATATAAAATAAATTATATAAATTAAAAAATATATTAATTATATAATAATAATTTTTAATTAAAATAATAATTAATTATATAAAAATATATTAAAAATATATAAATTATATAAATTAAAAATTAAATAAATGTTTTACTCTGATTTTAAATCTGAAAACCGTTTTTTCAAAAAATTTCAAAACTTTTATCACATCGCATTCCAAAAAAACGGATCTTAACCATTATTTCAAAATAAGCTTTTTCTGTAGTATATTCTATGCCATAATTTTAATAATCTTTGTTTTTTTTTTTTGCTATGTTTGTGAATTTTTTTTTACTGATGTTGACAAATGGAAAACAATGACCCCTTTATTAAAAAAAGCTTATGAACTTTATTTCCACTTCAAAGTTGATTATGCGGAGAAACAGTGGAAACCGAATACTTTAGCATGATGGTCGTGAAAGTCTCCAAAACACAAGTCAATGCCCTTTATGGCATAGCACCAACAAATCATGCCACTAATTGTTACTTTTGCATAACATTAATAAAAGGATTTTCATTTAAAACTTGTGAATCAGTATTATATTCCAACATTCAATCTATGTTCAAGCCAGTTCTTCACAACCCCGTAAACTGTCCAGTTCCAATTCTCTGGTTCATACTCTTTTCACTAAAATGCGAAGTATTTTTCGCATGACTCCAAAAAGATATATTACAAAGAAAGAATTTTTTTTTTTTTTCCATTATTTTAACCAGCACCAATTACCAGAAAAAACTTCATTGATTTTTGATTGACATCACAGTCATTTAAATATTGCTGTAATAGAGAAAACCAAAAGGTTAAACATTCTTATACTTTGTCTTCCAGCGCATTGTAGTCATGAACTTCAACCTCTGGGCAAAAGTTTTTTCAAACCGTTGAAAACTTACTGGAATGTTGCCATTAATAATTTTCAAAGAAACTATTCTTGATAATCACTGTCAAAACTGTAAATTCCACTATTATTTCCTGAAGCATGATTGCGTACTGTTACACTAGTAAATGTCATATAAGGATTTAGATCAACATGAATCTATCATTTCAACCCTAATATTATCCCGAAAGTAGCTTTTGCTGCTAATGAATTTCTAATCATACAAACATTGAAAATATTATCCCGAAAGTAGCTTTTGCTGCTAATGAAATTTCTAATCATACAAACGTTGAAAATACTAATGTTTACAAGTTTAGTACTTTGGAACCTGAATCTTTAAAGCCTGTATTCTAGTATTTGTGTAACAAATCTATATCTACAATAATTAGAAAAGTAATACTTTTTTAAGGGATCATATGGAACCCGATTAAAAAAATGTTTTGCATGAACCACTTGTTTTAAAAAAAGATATCATATTACCACCTTCCACCTACTACAACCTTCCACCTACTACCACCTTTACACATCAAGCTGAGTCTGATAAAAATTTCTTAAGAGCTTTGGATAAGATGAGTGATTCTTTCATATATCTTCAATCCATGTTTCTATGAATAAGTGATGCTAAATTAAAGGAAGGAATTTTTGTGGGCACTCAGATCAGAAAAGAATAAGTCATTTTCAAGATCTACTAAGTGGAAAAGATCTTGAGGCATGGCTAGCTTTTAAATCGATTGTTGCCAACTTTTCGGGAAATAATTAATCTAGCAATAACATAGAAGTGGTTAAACAGTGCATAGATGCCTTCCAGAACATAGGATGTAAGATGTCTCTTAAATCTTCTTGCCATCTTGGCAAAGTCAGTGATGAGCATGGAGAGCGTTTCCATCAGGATGATGATCATCATCATGATAATGATGATCAAGATGATAATCATGATAATGATAATCATGATGATAATCATGATCATGATGATAATGATGATCATGATAATAATGATCATGATAATGATGATCATGATGATGATCATGATCATGATGATCATCATTATCATGATGATGATTATGATCATGATCATAATGATCATCATGATCTTGATGGTGATGATGATCATGATGATCATGATGATCATCATCATGATCATGATAATGTACATGATCATCATCATCATGATTATGTATGATCATAACGATGTATATATATGTATATATATATACAAAATATAACATGAGTTTCCAATAAAAAATTAGGATGCCTAAATATTTATGCAGCCCCAGTCACAACCCTGGCCCCAGCTATATTTTATCAAAACCAGCCCCAGCCTCAATCAAATTTCAACTCTGATCACTTATTAATCAAAGATAAGTAGTTTTATAGATTTTTTCCTGATTTTTGTTATTAAAACAGAATCCAAAACACAAGAAAATGTTTTATGTATAAAATTTAACTGAAAAAGTAAGTCCTCAAGGGCAGTAAGACATGCACTTTATATAAAATACCAAGAACTACACAACCATAATAATTATATAAAAACCCTGGTACTATAAAAATATATCATGTAGTATATGAAAACTTGGAACTATATAAAATATCACAAACTATGTGATAACTGATGTTTTAATTCTGCTTACTGAAATATTTTAAAATATATCAGTTTTGCTTTTATTATAAATAAATACATGCACACTGGAAAATATGAAAATGTGGACAAAGTAAACAAAACTCAACTGTTAAAGCAAACAGGTTTTACTATGGTAACAGGTTTTACTATGCTCAGTATTACATAGGTAAAGTATTGCACTGTTAATAACCACAACTTTTTTTATAAACAATTTTCTACATTATTTTGTACTAAAAAAAATAATTTTTACTTTCTTGTTTTATCTTTTCATAGAGAACTTGCAATTCCATATTTTCTTCACAAATATTAACAGCATTTAATAAAGCCTCAAGTGCATCTTTCTTGTAACCTAACTCATACAACGCAAGAGCATAACGATACTGACCCTAAAAATTTTTTTAATTTAAATTTTATTACAAACCAAAAACAAATTTGAAAAAAATATGTTAATTATAATTAAAAGTCAATAAATAAATAAAATTTATAATAACCGCTAATTATAACAAGTAATATTGCAGGTAATATGTTAACAATACACTTGAGAGGTGTTCGTCTAACTTGTAAGATGTACAAAGATCAAATATCTTACTTAAGTCTAAATTAAAAAAGATAATTAGAAATGAACAATATTTCATCAATCTGTTACACTTTTTTCTTTTTTTTTTCTTTTCTTTTTGACATTTAATGTTTTTCTATTTTAGGTTTAACACTTGTGTGGTTTGGAATATAAATCCCATAGAACGCCTAATACCATTATCTTATGAAAATGGTAAAGCTATTTTTTACAAATAAAAAAATAACTTGAAAAAAAATGACTGACTTTACTGACGTTAACTTATTTTGCAGATCATTACAATGATGAACCACTACCACTAGAAACCACTAGGAAATCAACATTAACAAGCTCAACTCTAAACTTAGTTACACATAAAATGTAGTTTTTTTTTTTTTAGTTAAGGAGTCTCACCTACCTTGAAGAGTCTCACCAGCAAAGGAGTCTCCTCTGCCTTAAATCTTGGCTCAAAATATGGAAAAAAACGAGCCTAATATAAATATCTAGGCTCGTTTCTCTGTTAACATCTATAAAACTATTTCTCTTAAATTCTAGCAAGTATACAGTTGTACAAAGTTGTACAGTTGTAAAGCTCTGAAACTTAGTATAAATAGTTATGAGAAATGTTTTCCAATATTTGTAGTTTTAAAAGATTCTTTAATCATAATTACTTGTTTTACCTCTAACACTAACTGCCATTCAATTTTTTATCATTCTTTTGTAGAAATGGGCAAACTGGCTCCAAAGTTACATGCAAGATGTTTATGTATAACTACATTGATGAAACCATACTGAAATAAC